GCGTGCCACCTTCATATTTCTCAACAATCTCTTCTTTTTTCAGTTCCATTGTGATTCTAGTCATTTTTTTTTTTTTCTGTTGCTTTTCATTTGCCTTTTTGCAATTCATGATTAATAAAAATAATAAAATTTTACTTACAAATTAAAATCAGAAGAAATTTAACAAAGTTATAAACCGTGGCACCGCAAATGTCTAGTCTGGTCTAGTACATCGATAATGCTACTTGTTCACAGATGGTGCGTATAACTGAATTAAGTCGTATACTGGGCAAAATTTGTTTTGTCCAAACAGGACATATTCTGAATTGGATGTATTCTAAAGTAGATGTATACCGAGGTACCACTGTATAAATACTGTGTGAAAGCTGCATTCTAAAAATGGTCAATTTGTTGATTTTACAACTCTACTCAATTTTACTGCCAGAAGTCAATTCTTGGTCATCTACAAAAAGTTATATTGAAAGTTTTTTCTATCTTATATTTCATTCTCCAACTAGTGGAAGAACTAAGGATTGAGTACATAAAAGCAAGATTTCAGACTAGTACATGAGAATTGACAAATAAAATAGCCCTAATTCAACAATGAGAAAAGGTAATGTAAAATAAATTCTGATTGCTACTAAAGCAATGTAGTACAAGAACAATAAGTTTCACAAAACCTTTTTATACATTTTCTAGCAGTTTCTTGAGAGAACAAATGTTTTCAGCCATGTTTAATGGCCTTCTTCAGGTTCTTTAACATTGTCAGTTAACAAAAATTTGAATGATGTCTTTGTTTTAAACAGGAGATTAAAAGAAAGACAAAATTGAAAGAAAATTAACAAAATAGATATGTGAATGGATTACAAAATAAACGAATATTGCCACAAGAATAAAATAAGAAGATTAAATAACTAGATAAATTGAGAGAGATGTTAACAAGTTTGTGACAAATTAGATGAGAGGATGGATTAGTCTGTTTTATTTAAGAGGTTATCGAGGAGTGATTTCCAAGTGTTGGAGAGTGAGTCAGCATCTCTGCTGTTAATACAATTTTCTTTGTTTGTTTGTCAGAAAATGAAGCAAAGAAAAAACGAATCTAATAACAATCTACAAGTTATATGTAATACGAAGAAAAGCTGAGTAAGGGGAGACATTGTGCCACACAGAGACATAGCAGACCAAACAAGACAGTGACCTATGACCAAAAAAATGTGGAGCTTGCCAACATAGTGCTGTTTAATACAAAATATATCTTAGCAACACAGGGATTACATTTTTACTTTTTCTCACACTCCCTCTATTGCTGTGTGCTACATACATAACAATTATCAATTTCAATTTAATTTTAATATTTTCACAAATCTATCAAACTTAGTTCCCATTAGCAGTTTTGTTAGGACATCTGAGATCATTAGGTCTATCCTCAAATAATAAATCACAATTTCCCCTTTTTTGACTAATTCTCAAGTGACATGATAGCTTACATCAATATGTTTACTACTCTTGTGAAAAACTGCGTTCTTTGATAACTGTATTGTGCATTGGTTATTGCAGTAAACACAAGTGGGGTTCTTGACACATCTTTTAAAACCCATACATACTAACAGTCTTTTTATGTAAGTTATTTCTCATGAAGCTTCAGCTAGAGCTGAATACTCTGAATACTCTGCTTCCATGGCATGTTCAACAACAAATCTGAGCGTTTCTGTAGAATTTTTGTGGATACGATGCATGTTGCTGGCTTTCAGTTCTGCTAAATTTGTAATATGTCTGTTAAACACAACATTCTTCAGATGTCCCCAAAGCCAAAAATCACATGGGTTCATGTATCACCTATAAGTAATTTGCATCTTTTGATACTGCTAGTATACATCACAGTTTCCCTAGTGGCAAATTTTTGAACTAAATTTTTTTTTTTCAAACAGAATTCCACTACACAGATATTCATGCAAAATGTCAAGTCATTCTGACTAGTTCTTATCTCAGGCCATTATGAAATTGAAACTTTAATTATAATCACTCTGTAGGTTACAAACTTTTAACATAGACTACTTATATCAACATAACCAAATAGCAATGTAATACATCAAAAGCTTGTGCACAAACACAAACTGTTATAGTGTTACAGTCTTAGTGAACAACAAAATCATAATCACAAACAAGATAATTCATCAACAGTGGACCAGACATCACATTGATTGATGAATAAAATAAAACAAAATTACATACATCATAGATATATCCATTTTAAACATTCACAATGTACAAAATAAAAACACCAAAAAAATTAAATATTTAGAGCTTGGATAAATACTTTTTCACAAGTATTTTCCATGGGCACTTCACCTATCATGTCTGTAGTTTTGTCTTGCACAGATGCTCATACTACATATGCCTTAACAAAAAGCACATATATCATATCATAGAATGCAGCCATACTAATCATGTCATAGAATCATAAAATTCTTAAATACAGACACATATATGAAGACAAAAACATGAAATAAGGATATTTTTTTTAGCTAGTCAATTCCCCTCTATACTAGACATTGGTATCAACCAAATACGACATAATTTACCAGCATAATAATAATAATGGTATAAATTTGTAGTAGAGGATGTCTGAAAGTGGTCCTCAGTTGAGGACAAGATACAGGAGATTAGATGTGCCTGAACCAATGCAACCTCATGAAAACTTGACAATGCACAGTTAAGAAAACTGAATATCTAATGATTGATGACAAAAAATCATGGAAGCATACAATTAGGGTAGATATTATGGAATGTGGACTGACTGAAAAGCTTATGCTGGACAGAAAGGAATGGAGACAGATGACAACAGACATCAACCGTTTCTTTATGCAATGCTCGAGATGCACTTTACTGTGAACACACTGAAACTGGTTTCTAATTGGCCAACACTGCTCATGATGTCATTTTGCTACACTCTCATTGCATAAAGAAACAGGGGACAACCCATGAACCTCAAGGGAATGGCAAAGAACAACAACATATTTTATTAAATTTTTAAAGTTATAAATTACAAATTTAAAAATTAATAAAATACAGTTGTATTACTTTTGTTTATGAATTCTTAACATAATTTGAAATTACATTATTGATATATTTAAAAGTTAGGAACATTTATTGTTACTAGAATGTATTGGCACCGCAAATGTCTAGTCTGGTCTAGTACATCGATAATGCTACTTGTTCACAGATGGTGCGTATAACTGAATTAAGTCGTATACTGGGCAAAATTTGTTTTGTCCAAACAGGACATATTCTGAATTGGATGTATTCTAAAGCAGATGTATACCGAGGTACCACTGTATAAATACTGTGTGAAAGCTGCATTCTAAAAATGGTCAATTTGTTGATTTTACAACTCTACTCAATTTTACTGCCAGAAGTCAATTCTTGGTCATCTNAAGAATTATTCGATGGTCAGATGGAAGGTAAATTTAGTATGGAAAAAATTAATTAAATTAGAAATTTTCTTATACAAATATATTTTTTTAAAAATTTATTTTCAGTTTATCACTTCATCTAGGTTCTGAGATATTTGATATTCATCGACAGTTATTAATGCAAGGTGATCATAACCACTTATTTATTCGTCAAGGAACAGGCTTACAAGGTCAAGCTGTATTTAGAACAAAATTAACATTTAGGTTAGTTATAACATTTATGAAAAATGTCTTAATTTTTTTTTCTTTTTTCTTCATAACATAATTTATTTGGGGAAATATGGTTTTTCTTTGAAAAATTCAATGTTGAAAATTTATATGAGACATCTTAAGTATTTAAATGTGCTAGCCATAGGTATAATATACTTAAAATAGTTGAATACTATAAATATTTGATACTTAATGTGGCAAGATCATTTATTTTTATAATAATTTAGTGCATTTGCATTATATTACATAATTAGAAATTTTCTTATAAAAATACATTTTTTGAGTCTTTATACTCTGCACATCCAGTTTGCTTTGGAGAATGTAATAAAGATATTTTCAACATATTAGAATTGAGGCCTTTTTTTTGCAAAAACAACATATGTCAAAATTGGGTGAAAATGGGTTTTTTATTGCATCTAGCAACTCTGATGGTGGATGACTTGCCCATGAAATATGCAACAACAGCAAATGCCAACAGAGATATTATACATGAATGATTTTGAGGTTTTACAAAAACCACACATATCAGCAGGTAATGTCAAGATTTATTCACAAAAATAGTAATTGTCATGGACATTGCTGTTTTTGAGTGAAATATTTACTACAATGTAGTTAGCCATCTTGTAAGGTATTCTGGATAGAGTAACCTCAACATCATTTGAAGATGTCTGATATTGGTGGGTGTTTGCCACCAAGAAAGATTATGTTATTTGAGAAGCCAAAGTTTATGGAATTAGCCACAAACCACAAAAGAAAGGGAATAGGAAAGTGTGTCATGTCTCCTGATTGCAGGTATGTAAGCATCACCCATTTATTGAGTAAAAGTTGAATCTCAAATCAGCAAGGATGATGAAGAAACTGTTCAAATTTGTGACACACATTTTGAGCCTTACGAAAATGTTCTGATTAGAAGCAGCAGGAAGTGGATCAATGAGTTGACATTGCCACAAGCCTACAAAGATCCAATACTTGTATGAGACAGGAAACTTGTAGACTGCTTGAAGTTGTCAGCTTTCCTACAGAAGGTGGAGAATAAGAAGTTCTATGAAAGTCTGTCAAGTGTTGCAGGTAATAAATAATACGTGGAGATTGAAGAGGAAGACAATAGTACTGGCTGCGAGGACTCAAATGATATGTGCAAACTTTTTCATCCAAAAAGAATTTTATTCCCAAAGTTTCTGGAAAGAACAGCATATGTCAGATATCAAAAATTTAATTTTTCTTGGGCCCTGTCAAAGGCAATATTTTGACAATACAGTATACCAAAACCTTAATAGCTCACTGTTTTGGCAAATGGGAGATGTCCATGTGCAGTGAAATTAAAATAGAAATGGTTTTTTCAACAGTATGTATTTTGGCATATTGAAGCGTTTTTTACAAAAACAGCATTATTTTACATTTTATTTTCATGCAATTGGTCAGATAGTGATGCAATAAGGTAGTCTTTTATCATTGTAAAGAATTAAATTCTGGGTCCAATCTAGACTCTCATAATTTCTCATGAGTAGAATTTATTTTTCCCCATTTCAGATGAGACTCACCAGGAATGAGTAAAAATAGGGCCCTTACATATTATATGTTAAGTTCTCAAATAACAAAAAAAGAATAAAACATTTTCATGTAGGAATAGACTACAGTCATCCTCACTTAAACAGGCAGGTCATTAAGAACTGCTGAGACTTAAAAGTTCTCCAGCATGGGAAATCTTAATCTAGTTTCCATAGTCAGTCAGTATTCACTACACAAAGCATTTTTAATCTTCAAGACTACATATTTTGTTTAAAAATTTGTATTTTATTGTTGCATCCCATTTGAAGAATCCAGTGACTTAAATATTAATCTTGAATGAACTTTAAGTTTTGGTACATCATTTTTATAATTTTTGCTGATTGTATTTTTTCACGTTCTCTAATATGTATGAGATGCAAATTAAAACAAAGATATCAAGTTGGTGTTTCTTTTAGACCTCTTATTTAAGTTCCTGTTTGTAGGAATGGAACTTGGTCATTAAATTAATAGTAGCTATAAGGTGTTTTATTTGCTATTAGTTACATAGGATTAACATCATATAAATCAATGTGGTATCATATTTCAAATTAATTATGCATAAACTTTCTTAATATATTTGAATCTTAATTTTTCTTCTAATTGTTCATTATTTTTTAAAATAAACTATTTTCAACAGACCTCATTCAACAGACAGTTTTACTCATCGTAAGATGACCTTATCACTAGCAGACAGAAATCAGAAAACACAGAAGATACGTGTATTGCCGAATGTTGGAAAAGATCCTGAAGCTCATCGTTCTGAAATGATTAAAGTACATTATTTTCAATATTATTTTAAGATTTAACATATATTGTAAATATTGACTGATATGTTTTTCTATATATTTGTATGTAATTTTAAAATAATCTATAAAAATTTAATAATAGAAAGAGGAAGATAGGCTTAAAGCTTCTATAAGAAGAGAGAATAAACAAAGGCGTATTAGAGAGAAAGCTCATAATCGTGGTCTTAGTGCATCATATTTAGAATCTGATCGTTATGAAGAAGACGATGATGGTGCCATTTCTCTTGCTGCTATTAAAAATAAGTATAAAAAAGGAGGAGCAGCTTTAAGAGGTATATATTTTGAAAATAGCTTAATTTTAATTATTTACAAATATAATTTTAAATTTTATTTTATTTAACACCAGATCGACCATCAATATACTCTTCAGATGAAGAAGCATCAGATGAGGAGAAAGCAAAACGTTTAGAACAAGTTAAATCACTTGACGATGATGATGATGACAGTGATCTTGTAAGTTTAATGTTTTATTATTATTTTAACAATTGAAAAGTAAGCATAAAAAATAATAATATATAAATGAATACATAAGTTGATTGATTTTCTAATGCATATTCTATAAAATGATTCTACTTTTTAAGTTATATAGAAACAAATTTAATCATAATGTATTCAGTAACAAATGTTCTTTTTTTATGTAGTAAATGTTGATTACAGTTACATATGCTTTGCAAACATATTTTTTAAAATTACAAATAGTAAATGTCAAAGTTTTATTTATGGTTTTAAGTATATACTGGTAATTTTACTTTTAACCTATCTGATGTTGAAAATTTTCTCCGTGCGTGTTGCGCAATATTGAATTTTTGTCGATGTTAAGCCTAACAAAAATTACATAGATTTTCATTGTCTCTGGGAGGATGGATATAGGGTGGAACATTGATAAAATGTGCAAACATCACCCACGCCACTAAATCAAACTAATTTTTAAAATTTAGCAACTGATTTTCAGTAAGACATACATAAGCAGAAAAAACATTTAGCAAGAACATGTAATTACTCAGAAAACAAACATTCATATTTAAAGAAATCCTCCCAATAGTGGTCAATATAGGAAGGAAGGGTGGGTGGGTGCCAGCCCACCTGTCATACACCTTTCCTTCATTCTAGATCTATTATATTGGAAAATTAAATGGAATGTTATAGCAATAATCTGAAACTTAAGATTGCTGTGCAATATTGTCCAATGGAATGGGTCATTTGATCAAATGATGATAGTTTTATTAATTAAAACCTATCAAAAACTTTCAACAACAATGTGATCATTAGTGTAGAATAATGGTTTTGTGGTAAATTGGCAATTTATTTTTAGCTTTTAATGTTAGAAACATTATATATCATAATATAAACAAAGTATGAAGATTTTTTCACTGTTACTCAGTAACAGAGTATTTCATTAGTGATAACTCTAATTAATTTCTTTTAATATTTTTAAGAAAAGTATTTCCTGTTTATTGTTGCTATTTTCAGATTATTATGATATAAACCATTCTTGTATTATATGTGACTCATTAAGATTATATATTTCAGGGTATTGCTGAAATATACAATTTTTGATGTACTTGTGTGCAGCAATTACTACTTTAATAATCAAAACTTTAAAATTATATATTTGTCTATGTTACACAAAAAATAAATACAAAGAAAACCTGTCTAAAACAAAATATAACACCACCAGCCAGAATTTCCCATTTTGACAAGTTTCAGTTTACTAAATTTATGGAAGGTTGTTATTAAAAGCCGAAAGGTTTTTTTTATGAGCTTAACCTTATGTTGAGGAAAGATGTATTGAAAACACCAAATGTATATATTATTATGCACAAAGGAAACATGTGTGTAAAAAATCCAGTACCTACAGAATTGTTTTAGTTGTCATATTCCCAATGATATATCACTTGCTAGACAGCATTTAATTCATTAACTTTTGTTAAGTTAAACTTCAATTTTTATTTTAAAATTAATGTTAAAATTCTCTTACTTTATTTGTAATAACGTTTACTCTTAGAATTACCAAAATTTAAAACTATGAGGACAACAAAGAAATTAATTTTTCTTATTCCTTAAGCAACCACTGTCATCTAGAAAAATTCTTCTCTTTTCTAGCTAATTTCAAGAATGGAAGTGTTTTGCCATAATTGTTTAATAACTTGTATTCCTACTTTTTGTAACTGCACTTTTGGCTTTTTAGCTTAATCTTTTTTCCAAAAGTAGTGCATATTTTTTAGAATAATTTATTTGGGAATTACAGATATTTAGTGTTGTAAACAAACAATGGCAAACAATGAAATTCAATTGAGTTAAACAAATCACTAATAAGATAATCAGAGCACATGCACTGAGCAGAACTAGTACCTTATGTTGATGATTCAAACAAAAATAAAATTCATGTGAACCATTTTGTTCACATTGATATTTCTAAATTTACTGAAGTATACATATTCTGGATTAAAATGTAAAATTATGCAAATAATTGCCTATATGAAACAATCTGAGAAAAAGTATTTCACTTAAAACTGCATTAGCAGCATTCACAACTCAGGCTGTAGAAACAGACCATTTTATTCTAAACTAATTTGTCAAAATGTCCAGAGAAAGTAAGAATAACAATGATGTCATTCCCATTCAGAGATGCTAACCACTACTCTATTTAAATTTCCGACTTTAGGTAATGCTCTTTTATACTCTCAAATAAGTAGTAACAAGAATTGCATAGGTGTTACTTTGTTCACGTAGAATTGCTACTATGCAAAGTCTCATGCCAATGAGACTTTGCATAGTAGCAATTCTATGTAGAGTGTATTGTCACAACCAAGTTGCAGTGTCTTGCTAAAAACTGTCTAAAAATGGCATGCTCTTCTGACATCACAATCAGGCACACTGGAACAGCTCAAGTAAAAATATGTCATGTTTGCTTGACTATAGAAAAAGAAATTTAAAATGATGTTTCTCAAAAATAGTGGCAGATTCTGTCATTTATACAAGTTTCATGATATAAGTGAATGTTTTTATATTTGCTTATTAATATTAAACTAAAAATATATCTAGAACTTATGAATGGCATCTTATTGGAAATGGGATGGATGGGGGCTTTGCTCTCCAAACCAAGACACATGATCTTGTGCTACTGATGACCATCTTCTGAGGTTGGCATCTCTGTTTTACTCTATATACCAAGGTTAAACTATTAATCTGAACAAAAGAAAAAAGTGATTAATTGTAACTCTCATTGCTGAAGATTAATTTTGTAGATTCAGGTCACAGTCACAGTATTAATTATACAAAAGAATTTCGCTTTATGGTTATGATAAAACATATCAGTGAAAATAATATAAACTAAAAATAACTCATTCTGTTCCAAGATTTATAATATATAAAAACTGACTTTACACAGAAAATACACATTTGTATTATCAATTGGAATAAAATTCTCATAGATTACTATGAGTGAATAAGACATTATAGAATTAAATAATTAGCATTAATATGGTTAGAAAAGATTCTTCAATTTAATTAGAAAAAAAGTTGATTTTGACATGATGATTTGGAGAGCAAAGCCTCCATCCATTCCACTTCCAATAAGGTGTCATTGTTCCAGTTTTTAGCTATTCAGAAAATTTTTTAAATCAAAATTCTAATTGTTGTTTTTTGTGTGATGCTTTTCAATAATGCCAAATTTGTAGAAAATATCATTAGCTATTTTTTGGACACAATAACTGAAGTGTTCTTTTCAAAATGTTTCTTGCCCAAAATTTTCAAAACAACTATCAATTCCTTTAGATTATTTTGAAATAAAATAGAAACAGAAATAAACTACCAAATGATCGCCTTAATATCGGACTATAATATGGCTAATTAAATGATTAGTATAAAGAAATTTGACAATAGAGGTAGGCGTTAGGCACCATCTCTTAAGTAAATTAATAATTATAAATTATTAAATAAATTTAGAACCTTCTGGAATAAAAAAAGGTTTAAGGCGATCGTTTGGTAGTTTATTCTATATTTCTCGGACTTTGAGTTGTTATTATTTATATATATATACCTCGCCGGGTATTACGTTAGCTGGCTGAGTTCCATTGGGGTCGTGGGCGATGGAGTCGTCCCCAGTCAGTGATGTATTTAACCAAGTAAGGTTATATCTAATCTAACATACTTCTAGAGGCGAAGACTCGCTCAGGGTCCGGGTGGCGTAACTGGCAAGCGCACCGCATGGCAAGCGGAGGTTGCGGGTTCAGGCCAGTTCTTTTATTCCAGAAGGTTCTAAATTTATTTAATAGTTTATTTATTAAGATTAAGATTATTTATTTTAATATATATTTTATATTATTTTATTTTATTTATTAACATTAAGAGACACCATCTCTTAAGTAAATTAATAATTATAAATAAATAAATTATTAATTTAATTAAGAGATGGTGCCTAACGCCTACCTCTATTGTCAAATTACTGTATACTAATCATTTAATTAGCCATATTATAGCCTGATATTTAGGCAATCGTTTGGTAGTTTATTCTATATTTCTCGGGCTTTGAGTTGTTATTATTTATAGAAACAGAAATGTTTGTACAAATTGTGAAAAATTACTTTCAAATATGAATTTGCCAAAATGACAAGATAACAGCCATCATAAGTGAAAGCCTTTTTTGCAAAATGTCTCTTGTCCTGGCCTGTCTTTTCCACTATATTTTTTTTCAAGATAATTTATGAAAATGTTGTGTAAGACATTCTGTAACGTTGCAAACTTTTACTGGTCTCAAGAATTAAAATAACTCAATTGAGTGCAGAAATATTTATTTTGGTTTGCTAAAAATGTTGAAAAGTGGACAAAGGGCTGCTTTGAAAGTAAACACTTTCAATTCAATGAATATGGTAAAGTTCAGTAATAATATATTTTACAAGAATAGTTCGATGTATTTTTAAAATTTTCACTTGACTTTACAAATAATGTAACAATTACTAAATATTTTATATTTTGATTTCTGTTTCAGGATTATTTTGAAAGAAAGAAAGCTATTGCTGAAGGTAAAAAGAAAATGGCTACTATCGAAGAAAGTGATGAAGAAAGTTAGTTTGTATTTAAGACTTGCTCTTGAGCATTAATTATGTAACTATAGTTGTGACAAGTTTTGTATTATTTTGATTTCTGTACAAAGAATAAAATTGTTTTATATATTTGCGTCATATTATTATGTACTGTACAGCTGATGATACAGCTGGTCTTTCACTGTCATACAGGCATACTTAGCATTTGAAGATTATGATGATAATAGACTTCTGCAAACCTTTTAGGAGGCCTTAAAATTGCTATTTAGATGGACAATGATACCAGAGTGCCTTAAAATTACTGACGTGCAATTGGACCACAACTAATCATTTATATACCTGTTCTAAATAATCCCTGCAAAATTCAATATTTATGCATACTGGTTTCACCCATTGTGTGGGGAATACAAACTTATACAAATTACAAAAATCAATACACAACAGTAAAAAAACCACAGTAATAGTATAATTTATTAATATTATATATAACACACACACACACACAAATAATAAATTAAACAAAAAATCAAAATCATGGGGAGAACTATCCAAAAAAAAAAAATAAATTATATATAAAATAACCACACCCACCTAAAAGCAGAAGAAAAATTAATTATCACGTCAGACAATGGATAGTCTCCCAAATTCCTTAGGCTCGAACACATTTAAAGAAAAAAATAATGCCGCCTTTGCACAGAACCAAATGATTCCAAATTGCAAAGCAGAACAAAATTAAGTGCCAATCTATCCAAATGACAACTGGAAGAAAATAATCATAAAATTACCTAAAAAGTAATTTAATTTTCCGGATAAAAAAAAAATAAAATTATGTAAATTACCAATAAGGTCAAAAATCTTTCAAAATAAATAATAGAAACACCAAAAATACTTTCATGTAATTTTGAAAAATTAATACACTTAGATATCACATGATATGCATAATTCTGCAAAAAATTAATGCAAATGAAATGTAATTCTCTTAAAGTAGAACTAATATTAAAAGAATTATTATTATAAACAAAACTATCAAAAACGATTTATTTAAATATACCAAATATTATAAGAACTTAAGTTAATATACCTATTCAAATCCAAAATATGATTATCAAAATTTAATTTCAGTAAACAGCAACAGTTATAATTATTTAATAGTTCATCGAAATTAATACTATTATTAACACAGATAGTCCCTAAATTTTTTGTCCACGAAAAATCATTCTTATTTAAAATATAACAAACATGTCCTACTCCATTGTTTCTCATCCAATTCAAACACTTATTTAAAACTACAAAGGAAAAAGGCAATAATGAACACTCCATAAAAATTAAATATCTTGGAGTACATAGAGATAAGCCAAATAATTTATTAATAAATATAGCCAATACTGAATCTAAAACATCAAATTGATAACCCCAGACCTCAGAAGCATATAACAAAGACGAAGTAACAGCTGAATTAAAAATCCTCAGACAATCACTCATATTACATAACTTAGAGTTATTCAGATGTGTAGATCATCTGTCAGTTTTAATATAAGCATTCCTTTTTGAAATTGAATGTGGGAATTATATTTTCTATTACACTTAAATATTACACCCAAATATTTATATTGCAAAACTATTTGTATTATATCATTTCTAAATCACCATTTATCATATTTAGAAAATTTACCTCCATTACGAAAAACAACAACTTTAGATTTTTAAAAATTCAATCTCAATCATATTTATTAATCAAGATTCAATCTCATTAATAAATCCTTGTAAACTTCTAATGGAATTGGCAATCAAAACAATATCTTTTGCATATGCCAATATTTTAACACTAGTACTGTTCACATCAATACCTTCATAATCAGAATTATTTATCCATTCAATTAAATCATTTAAATACAAACTAAACAAAAACAAAAACAGGACTTAAAACACAATCCTGTCTAACACCAGTAGCTGTAAAAAAAGACTGGGAGCAAAAACAGCCCCCATTTGATTCTCTATAATTCTGCAAGCAAAGAAACAAATTTAAAACTCAAGCCATATTTTAAGTTTTCTCCATATTAAATTCCTATCTATAGTATCAAAGGCCAAAGACAAATCTACAAAAAAAAAAAAACCTTTTCACCTTTCATTAGCATCTTGGTAATAAAGAGTATGCAAAATGAAAACATTATCTATGGTAGAATATTTTTCTTGAAAGCCAGCCTGATTCTCAAATAAAATATGTAAATTTTACCAAGTTACTAACCTAAAATACAGTATTCTACAAAAAATTTTTGAGAAACAGGTTAGCAAGGAAATTCCTCTGTAATTACTAGGAATCAATTTAGAGCCACTTTTATATATTGGACACAAAAGAGCACTCCCTCAATCCTTTGGTACTACCTGAGTCCTCAAGAATCTATCAAAACTCTTAAATAATAATGGAAAAACAGAATCCATCTTCCAAAATTCCGAGGGAATACCATCAACACTAGGTGCAGAACCAACTTTTACTTTAACTCAATTCAGATTCCAAAATATCTGCATCCAAAATTTTGTCAGACCAAGATGAACATTCATTAAAAACTGATAAGTCAAAATTCAATATAAAGCTATCTAAGTACATAACTTTTTGTAAAAATGTTTATATTATGAACCAAGTGACTAATAAGTCATACTGCTTGACCTTTCTGAATAATGACTAAAACAGTTGCATAGCCTGATATAATATGATTACAGGACCATTAAAAAACTTACATATTTAACATATTTAAATTGGATAAAATTAAAAGGTTATTTTGAGTGGTCTAGCCCTGTTTATTTTAAGTTGAGATATCATATCTGATGATATATCATCTCATTAGATATTATGTAAATGGTATCAATTCTGTATCAAATTATAATACATGATTCATTTTCAGCAGTGGTATTAAAATTTGTTCAGAAAAAGTATTTTAGAATAATATATTTGCTTCTGTTAATAATTTTCTTTGGAATTATGTCAAAATAAATAGACATGCTTCCAATAGTATTTTATAATTTCAAAAACTATGTATACTTAATGTTTTCAAATAGAATAATAATTCAAATAACAAAAAAATTATTTATAACATTGTAAACAAACTGATATTTCATGCTACCAGAAAGTAGATATTTGTGATACTTTGTAACTTCCAGATACTAAGTAATATTATCATGTGCAAAGATTTTCATCTGAGTTATTTAAAATGTTTCATTTTCAAAGTAATTTTACAGATTTTATTTTCATTGGAAAATTTAATTCTAAAGTTTTTTAAAAACTATCTTTACAAAATGTTTTATTGAAGTACAAACATAATAATAATTTTAATGTTTTGGAGCATTATATTCATTATATACATTCAAATACTAAAAGAAATTAATTCTTCAATAATTTGAAGGATACAGTCAAAACAAATATATTAACTTTAAATATATTAAAATATTTATAGGAATATTTTATCTCATTGAGCTTTAACAATTAATTATATTACAATAACTACATTACAAACTTTATAGCTAGAGATATTTTTAATTAATCCCTAACAAAATTACATATTGATAAATAGTGAATTGCAAAAACAAAAACAGCAAATAAGCACTTGCTAGTTTGAACAAAATGCAGTAATTAGTTTCAAAATTGTAAAGGAACAAAATATTATAGTTTCTTGAATTTGAAATTTATTACATTTAATATCAAAATATCTTTTTTTTTAATCTATCAATAAATCATAAGAGTATAAATTGCAGAAAGATACCTGGTTAGTCGAGTTAATGCATTCCAAAAAATTACTGCATTAAGTCCTTATCAATCAGATAATATATGTAATAAAAACAATGATTCATTTGAAAAAATTTTCTTCTTTGCTTTAAAGATAATTAGAATTGAATTAATAAGTCATAAGATCCAAAACAATTATTGATATATACAGGGTTCCTATGCACCTTGAAAGTCAGATTGTAATTAGTGTTTGAAAAAAAGTCACAGAAAGTCAAGAAAATTGTCAAAAAGTCAGGGAATTTGCCTCCTTGGCTGCCTTGTTGTTTTGGCTGACAATATACTTGACTAAGTGTAGCCATCTGCAGGCAGCAAGAAGTAATATAGTGCAATAGAACTTATGAAAAAAAGTGCAGATTTTATCCCATTGGAGAAAATCTGCACTTTTTTTCATATATAAAAGCATATACAAAAATTGTAAAATATTTTTCATTTTGATAACTTTAATTGTGTAACAAAACAATTTTTGGTTTTTTTCCTTGTTTATTAACATTTCATAAAGTTCAGGAAATACATTAAGGAATAAATTTAATAAATACTTTTGTATATGGATTATACAGCATTTGTTAATGAATAATAAATAATGGTTTTTTTTTAAAACCCATGTAGATTAATAACAAGATAAACTACTTTATAGATCTACAATTTTTTCAAATTTCAGCCCAATTAAATTTCCACTGTCATCTGTCTATCCTTCCTTAATCTCGAGAGTGGTGTTAGATAGATGAAAGTCAAAAACAGATATGGAAGGATTAGGAGCAGAAAGCCCTGATTAACTATATATGAACTTCCAGTCTAGACTGAAAATCATGTAAATTCAATTCAAACATTCACCCTGAATGGAATTACATAAATGACCAGCAAGACACTTTTGTTATCAGGGAAAGCATGATGTATAGCAGGGGTGGCCAAAACGTGGCGCATGCGCCAAACTTGGCGCATTGGACGATTACAAGTGGCGCTTTAGTCAGTTCTGAGCAACATTGCCAGATTTGGCTTCTTTGCAATTATGAATATTACATAGAAAATTAATTTTTTATAGTCTGTCTTGGCAAGTTCATTTGTTGCACAATTCGTTGCAATCAACTTTACAGATAAAATGAGTGTTCTCCACATAGTAAATTACAGTGTATGCATGTATGTTTATTTTCGATCAGTTTACAGGTGTCTAAATGACAGTGCTAACGTCCCACGATAGTGCTACCGTCCGGACTGTCCGGGAATCGGAATCGGATTAGACTACTAACTTCTTTTCCCGAGTAGTTCCTGCGACACCTGTTGACCTTTTGTTTTTGTTTTTTTTTTTTGCCTGTATGGT